AGAAAAAATCGTAAGAAATAGAAAATATCATTATTTTATAAAATAAATTATACCGTATAGTCGCAAAGTAATTGATGTTTCCGATTCTGTAATTATTTTTTGTATGAGTCTCATAAAAAGTTAGATCGTGTTTTAAAAACGTCCGGGATAAAAAAAAAAAAAAAGGTTGAAAAATTGGAACTTTGTCGCCTGGCGGGAAAAATTGCAATATTTAGGCGTTGTAAGGTTTTTAATTAATATCTTTTTAACTAATTGCACTTCCGGAATATAAAAGATCAAAACGTATTTCTCGGATCATTCCCAATCTTTTGGTACATTCGGCGAGTTTCTGCGTCATGTGGTTTGTGAGAAGATACACCTAGTCGTATAGTCGCATACGTCTGCTTACCTTGGAATTATAATAGTGTAGATATTAATTAAACTATTATTTTCGGGTAGAAACTTGCGACTCAATTTTGAAGCTGATGTCTTCAACCGATTGAGCTGAAATTTTGCATACACGTTTAGTTTGGATGACGATGCATGTTTTGATAATTTATATTCCAATATCTCAATCAGTTAAAAATATATTAATTGAAATTCTTTTAACCCTGTTAGCTCTTTATTCTGCCCAGCAGCTTATCGGATTGAGCTTAAAGAAATTCCAATTTTTCGACCTTTTTTATTCTTTTTATCAAACTGAGACAAAAAACAATTACCTAATCCAAAAGATCATTTATTTCGCCAAGATACGGTTCATGAAAATGATTACTAAATCGTTTAGTATGATTTTTTTTCTTCGTATTATTGAATTGATATTTTGTACTAAGAAAGTTCAGGCTTTTCTCTTTTAAAATCAGTCATTTAAAAAATAAAATGCCTAAAACTTTTTTCTGACGATTTTTCTAAATATACTTAAATTTTTAATAAAACCTTAAGAAACTTCGTCATTTTTAAATATAATCGCATGAAACATTTTTTTCGTTTGTAGATCGTAACAAGCTTTTGTGTAACAAGATTAAAATCTTTCTAAAAATCTTTAACAGGGCAAGAGCTGGGCCAAGGACGAAAGGCAGTTACGAGCAGAGTTGAACGATACTAACCTTCAGTCAAATGGACCAGCCAAACCTGAGATAATCACGATTTAAATAAATTTAAACACCCCCACACAGGGACAATAGGGACAATAACATGGGGGGTATCAGAATGTATCTGGAGTTGAAGTGAGCCAAATGTGACACCTGAGACCTCATATTGAATATCTCGGAGGGAAGAATTGTTCATAAGAAAATTAAGACACGAACCCCCGAGCTATGGTCATTTTAAAATAATTAAAACATTTAAAACAATAAAATAAAATAGAAGCAGGGCACCCAGCAACTCGAACCTGGGACTGGTTTTGAGCATACATAAGAGTAATCCAGTAGAACCGGTACGGCGTCTGTAGTTGCAAATTGGGGCGGCGCTGGCTCGGGAAAGGAAAACGAAACTAACTTCCCCCGGAGGGGAATAACTGTGACGTAAATGGTCACATACATCCCAAAGATACACAGAGTAGTAGGTGATCCCAAAGTTTCATCCTTCCATCTGTGTAATATCGTTATGTCATCAAAAGATCGAACCCTGTAGGAATAACATGGGGATTCTAATTTTAGCGATAACGCCCCTCAAGCCCACTATCTACTCACGAATTAAAACAGATGAAACAGCTCAACGAGGAAAACTTATGGTCTGAGTTTCATTAACGAATCTCAAAAATCCTCGGAGCTATGCGGGGTTTAATAAAATTATAACAAAATAATTTTTAAATGTTAAATATGGGTAAAGAAATGGGGCCCTGTGAAAATATATATCTAGGAAGCTCAAAGGAAGAAGAATCGAATCCAGCCGGTGCAGTCGACCGAGATGGCATAGGATTCGAGTTATTTCTGGGGAAGACCTGTATGGGGAGGGGGCCAATTCCACTTAAAGCTCGCGCTAATACGAAAATATGGTGGACCTTTAAAAATCAAGTTCCAAGCTCAATTCCTTAGGGGGGGTTGAAATTTTTTCCAGTCCCCGTAGGATTAAAATGGGAGACTGATATTATAGTGCTTAAGCCATCCCCATGAGTACAAAATGGGAATGAACAAGATGACTGGCTGGGTCTCGACGAGTAGAACACTTGGTTCAAATCTCAAGTCCGAGACTCGAACAAGAGCCAAGATATTGTGAATTTAAACAAATTTAAAAATAAGACAATTCAAAACCATGCAAGAAATATCCCTATAAGCATGAAATTATAATAACTGGAAGAGCAGATAGAGAGGGATTGAATGATCCAGGTCCGAATGGACTGTGAGGTTCGGGTGCCGAGATATGGGACAAAAAGCTGTAGAAAAGGGAATGCACAGAGGGGATGCGTCCCAACAGATATGATTTATAACAATAGTTATTATGATCCCCCAAATATCAGTCCCATAGCACCA